TCTCTTTAAATGCAAATGAGGCGCTTTTGACCACGCCCCCATCCAGGTGACACAGGTTCAACTCCACCCCGAGCGGCCATTTTTGTAGTTACTAAGCACAAATACAATTATCTCATAGAAACTTCTCATTACATCGCAAACATGAAGCAGGCCTTCCTCATTGACTGAAAGCAAATGTTAATTTTCATTCTTAGTCCAGTCTTATTATCGACTCTTCTCTTTTTAGCTTTGGGATGCGCACAGTCTATGATGCTCACACGCCGGTTTGTTTACAACAGCGGCCGCCTGGCGCGGGCCTACGTCGCAGGATATGACGCACTACGTTGACAGAAATGTTTAAATTGAATATTACTTATGCACAATTTTACAGCATTTAAAAACTTTAAGAACGTTTTTCCTTCTACAGAAGGAAAGAGACGCATGCGCCTCCGGAGCCGCAGGTTGCCGACTCCTGGTTTATACAGTATGTGGAAGCAAATACTGTAGAGGATCAGGATATGTGCAGTTTCAACAATAAAATAAAATGCAATAGTCTACATTACAAGAGAGTAATAAACATGTCTCAGAGTGAGGGGAGGTGGACACAGACAACACTATTGTTTGTTACAGGGATGAGAATTGGTCAAAAAAGACTGAAATGAATATTGTCAACCATTTGCTGGCTCTAAATCTGTTTAATTTGTTCACAACATATTACTTTTGGGCTCAAACATGAACTTTTTATTCAATGCAAAATGTAGGTATCAGAGCTTTATTTAGGGCGTTTAATCGCGCTTCGAGAGGAGAGGGGAGACGCGGACTGTTTCCTGCAGCAGTGTATTTATTGGGTGCACAGATTACTCAAAGACACGCATGGTCCTGTGCGCGTTTATGGGGTTGGGTACATGGCCACGTTGAGGCTGCGCGCTCAGCCACAACACGGTGGAGCGGCTGCGAGCTGCTGGACGCTCACAGCCTCTCGCAGCCGCTGGACGCGGAAGCTGCTCATTACAAAGGGGCCGCAGATGCCCCAGAACACTGTGGCCGCTGAGGTGGCGGAATCCCGTTCGAGTACATACAGCAGGTGCCCCGCGGATACGCGCGCCCCGCTCAAACCATTTTCAACGGATTTACACTTCTCATAAACATGTGTTTTGTATGAGGCAGAGAGACCGGCCCAAATATGGGCATCGGCCCTTTGGGCATTGCCCGGTACGCCCGATGTCCAGTCCAGCCCTGTTCGCTGGAATCCTTGAGCTTGGACTACAAATTCGAAGTGATGCACAGTAGAGGAGGGCTGGGTCAAAGTGTTTTGTTAGACGCCCATGCCCTTATATAGCAGTCTCGCTGCAAATACTGTGACGTAATAATTCTAAACACGTAATAGAGAATGGCAAAATCAGAACGGGTTGAAATATCTTACCTAAACAGAATATGAAGTGTTCTCTGCAACCCATGAAGAGACTGATTTCAACTTTTTTGCACTTCTAGAGGCTCCAACTACACATCATAAGGCATTTAAGGCACAAAAAGTGGATTTTTCATGATATGTCCCCTTTAAGTTATAGACAAGCATCCGTGCTATCCATTCCAGCACGGTGGTGGAGTCGATAGCACTCTCGCTTCTCAGCAAGAAGGTCCTGGGTTCGAATCCTGGTCGGAACAGGGCCTTTCTCCCCGTGCATAAGTTTCCTCCGGGTGCTCCGGTTTCCCCTACCACTATAAACATGCACAATAGGTATGAATGTAAATGAGAGAGTGAATGGATGGTGTTGATTGGGGGCTGATGCACCAGTGTGTTCGGCGACTCGTTTTCCGTCATCACCGTGTGTGGAATGATTGGAACAATATCTGAACTCTGAACATTGTAAAGCGCTTTGGGTGACCATGGTCTGTAAAATGCGCTATATAAATAAACATTACTTACTGAGGAGTGTAATCGACCAGACCAATCAAGCTCCACAATTGTATAAGGCTTATACAATATATTTATATAAGGTTTAAGATTATGTAGTCATTAGTATTACAAATAATTAGTATTGCAATTTTGTTAGCACTAATTATGTGTTTTGAGACTAGAATCTGTACTGTTTGTGCTTTAATAAGAAAGTCACATTGTCTTCGACGTGAGGACAATGCCAGAGTTTGTAATGAGAATTGTCGATTGTCTGCTTGATTAGATCTTGTTGTTGTGTTGCTCTGAGCCACAGAACACTCTTGTCCCAAATGTGAAGTGGTTTACAACATGGGATTTATGAGGTCAAGAAGTCATTGCTCCTTTAATGATATTTTGTGAGTGGAGAAAGTTTTGTCCTCGGTAATAGTCCAGTGTAATTTACTTCAGTGTAAGCACAGTGGAATGGGAGTATGGTAAAAGTTGTTATAGTACAGTGTATGTATAAATTGAGTGTAAGTGGTCCACAAGTGGGAGTGTGAGTCCTGTACGTGCGTCAGTCTCTGTGTTGGAGCCTCGTTACTCCTCTGCTCTGTTTACTCTGGGCCTGAGCAGAGGGATGCCTCCCACTGTCACCTGATATCCATGGAAAATGGATAAGACCATTGGCTTATTTCGACAGCGCTCCCCTCAGCTCAGTCCATTTAAGCTCTTTTCCTTGTTTTTTCAAACCACAATATGCTTTAGTGCAGTGTTTCCCAACAGGCTGTATGCGGACCCCTAGGGGTACGCGAGGGTACTACAGAGGATACAACTATGACACATTTTCTCAAGACAAGAACCATGTAATCTATTCAAGTATGAATTTTGAAACCATAATGCAATTAATACTAATAATTGGTCCATCAGTCTGCATTAACAATCCATTCTTCCCTTGTTTTAATTCTGGTATCTAACAAAACTTAACATTTATTCTTCCTTAATATAAACGCTGTCACTTCTCCACAGAACCTGCTTGTTTCTGTGGATATATGATGCAATAGAAGCCATAAAAAATATCTAATAATCAGCGTGTGATCTTCAACTAATGCAACAGTGGATGTCTGAAAATCTTATCTTGAGGGAAACCACAACTCTGCTGTCCATTGTGCTCAGAATCTCAAAAACTCTTCACTGAATCATTCACTAAATGAAGAGAAGATAAGAGCAAACCTTTATTTGTCCCACAGAGGAGAAATGTCTGTGTTGCCGCCCAGAAATACAGGTACACAAATCACCATCTTCAGTAATCTTTAGCTTAAGTATAAAACTATAACATACAGTAGGAAACACAGATATACATAAGTAATCTTGACTATATAAGTAAATTCACTGTCAACTCATCAACATTACTAAAAGAATTCAACACATTAGTTCAATTACTTTTTTTAATTGTGGAGAGACAATCTTTTCCGAGGTAAGCCCATTCTTACCTGCGCTGATTTTTTTTTTGGACGAAAATCCTTGATCCACCGACGAGGCCCCTCATCATTGGTAAAACTATTCTTCTCCAGCGATTCTTACCGGTGGTGGTTATGCCAAGGAAAGAGGCTATATTCACTGTGTTGATTTTGAAAAATACCTACATCTGTCATCCCCTTTAACATGCGCTTTTAAGCATATGAGTAAATCAATATTATGACAGCCTGCATTTTGAGAGAAAAATCTGTATCCATAGGCTTTGAGGAATAACTAGTTGTCCTATATATTTTTTTATAGCCTGCACTAAACACTGAAGAACTGGCCGAGCAGCAAAGGTTATTCAGTAGTGTTATTATCGCCACTTTTTGTTGTACATAATATATCCTGAACATACGACTATACAGTATACAGTATGTGACATGTAAATTTCTCCTGTGTGAGATCAACAAAGTCTATCTTATCTTATCATATTGTAAAGACTGTATTGTCAAAAGATTTTTATTTACTGCAACAATGACATCAAACTACTAATCTTGTAAGGCTCTTTCAGGGATATTGATTGGGTTTAGACCTTTTCCAAAGCTCACTCTATGGACGTTATTGGATTGATGGTGTTCTTGGAGACATTACCCAGTCCGACTGTTGGGCGGCTGTTGTCCTGGAGCAGAGACAGTGAGGGGCCTGTATGAGTGACACATGGGCTCTGTGTTCTGTCGCTGGAGCAGAGAAGATGCCCCTCAAATGAAGCGCACAAAACCAGGGCTCTGTTCTCCCCTGGTTCAGAAATGTGGGTAAAGATGGACAATATTAGACATGTACATATAGAGTACGCCCTAACAAGTTGATTGGTTCATCGCAACTAAAAGGTTTTAGGACTCGGATAATTCTACAATGACTGCAGAATGTAATGAAAATGTGTAAACAACCCAATTTGTAAGTCATCTCAAATGTCTAAAAAAATCCCATATTCACTGATATTTCTCTATCTTAGGCCGACTAAACAATTATATTATCATTGCTAATTACAGCCCTCATAAAGGGTGTGAGTTACAACAAAAATATATTAATATGAGGAAATATCAGCAAGAAAATGTGTTTCTGGAACAGGTTTTGAAATCAGTAAGGTAGAGTACAGTAAACTATATGATAAAATAACCTGCCATATCGCTGCCATACTGAGTAAATGTCAGTTTGGCAGCTAAACTCTGGAACAATTATTTAAATATGAGACAAGCAACTACAGTGTTCAAATAAAAACCGTTCTATGAAGCTGTGGCTACAACTGGAGTATTGTATATGTCTGTTCTTTTAAAAACAATTAGTTTCAATGAATGTTGTGTGATCTGTGTTTTATCTGTACATCGTAAGAATACATTTTGAGTTGTCCTGTGTATGTTTGTGCTCTACACATATAGTGAACTTATTACAGAACAACAGGAATAAACTAGAACTCATAACATGACAAATAATATAGACACAATAATCAGAATAAGTCAACACTTTATTATTGAAAACCTTAGCTGAAAAACTAAGTATTTTTCTTGCTATGATTGCACTTAGTAAAAAGTATGTGGCACCCAAAAGTAAGTGCAGTATACAATAGAAGTCGGTGAGAGCTTCTTTCTAATACTGGAAATACTAAGCTTAGGAATTCTACCATCAGTACATGCCATTACTTCTGCTCATTCCAGCAGCTGCCCTGGAACTGGCAGCACAAGGGCCTCCCCTGGTGTCAAAAGGAGCACAACACAGTGAGTAAATCCACATGAAACAGAGGGTCTTACGTAACGTACTTCAAAATAGTATAATTAATCAAAACACAGTATAATCTAGGTTAAACCACTATGCCATTCACTGACTGTAAACAAATGGAGAACATATTGAGCTAACTTTAAACAAAGCAAATAGACCTTAAGATATAGATAATGTGTGCTACAGGTTGATACATTGATTTTAAAGTGATTTCTTTCTTGAATTATGTAAGTATGTAAACAATTTTAAAATACATTGTAAAACTGCTCAAATAAAAATACTACAAAAAAAAAAATACTAATGTCGATGAAAAACAAAGAAGAACTCAATTACACTTAAATATGTTTATATCACCCGATCTGAATAGCCAATAGAAAAATACCGTCTTGTCCATGCCACTTCCGCTTCCTACTTTTTCCCGGAGGCGCAGAGAGCAGAGAGTCCCCCACGCGCCAGCTTGGAGCCTTTCCCCTAATGACAGCGCCGCAACACACATGGCTAAAATGTATTTATTGTGTGTATTCCTGCTGATTGCTGCTGTGCTTCTTCCAGCAACAGGGAAAGGTTTGTCATGTCACATTCTTTAAAACTTTTTAAAACTTTTGACTCGAAAATAAAGTTGCGACATCTCAGCTATTGTTTTTAATACTTCTTTCTCTGTTGGTTTTACTCTACAGAAATAGTCCCCACCATTGTAAATGTGACGTGCAACGACATTAAAACGCCTGGTGGATATATGTTTGATATTAAGCCTGTAAATCAGGACCCTGTGGAGTCGGTTGATATAACCCAAAATGGAGTATGTGTCTCACTTGTACTTGTTTCTTTATTTATATGATATTAACTTTTTGTATTCATTAGGTTAAGATTTACGTTGGTAAATTTGAAGATCTGAGTTGGTCATCTAAAGGAAGGGATGTAAAAGCAATAACTACAACTAACTGCAGTAGCATAAATGTGAAATGGACTCACAACACAACGGTAAGCGAGTGAAAATGATGTAACTTTTGACTTAACTGATGGGAGATGGACCGGAGAACAGTAACATACAATGAAATAACCTTACATAATTTACTTATCATTTTTAGGAAGGATACATCGTGGATAGTTATCTAGATATCAATGCTGTAAGTGAGTCAGGTGAGGAGCATTGTCTTTTGATCTATATCTCTATAAAACGTTTAAATATTATTAACCCCATGTTTTCTTATAAAGAGACCAAAGAGACCAAAGAGACAGAGCAATCTTCCACTGACAGCAACTGGCCCATTATTATTGCTTGCACTGGTGAGAGAATCTGCTCTGCTATATTGTATCATTTTGATTAATTGATACTGTTACAACATGACAGCGTAGTAATACTATTATTATTTTTTTCAGTCATAGCCGTCTTTGTGGTCATAGTTTGTGGGCTTTTGTGGGCCTGGTGTAAGAAGTGAGTCTTGTTGTTTTTTTTTTTTTTATGTTAACTTCTACTAAATCACTTATTTACAGGAAAAGGCGAGGCTGTGTGGACGAGATCAAGAATCGCTGTGTCAACAAACAACCGGGGACTTCTAATGTAGATTACAATCGAAGGTGTGAGGAGAATGGCGCAAAAAACATGAATAGTCTCCAAGCAAAGTCTGAAAACTTCCTGTGGTTTGAGAATCAGAAAGTAAAAAAAAAAATCCTCAGAAGGCCTATAATGACTTTGCCTCTGTGAAACTGATATGTGATTTATGCTCAATATATGATATTGTGGCTTACTGTCCTTTTTCAAAATATTACATTTTTTCTGAGATGTTGTTATTATAGGTATTTACATGTTTTAAGATTAAGAGATCCTTTATTTGTCTCACAGTGGGGAAATTTCAGTGTTGCATCACAAGTTACAGAACAGTGGGAATGAGGAGCACACAGTACAAGATAAAAGAACGATAACTCTATACTAATCAAAATAAAAAAAAAGTCTAACTCTAGCATCAAAGAAACAAGTATAAAATCTCTCTCAACGTTATAACTCATAAAGGATAGATACATCTCACTTTGCATGTAATATGTCTGTTATATATTAGTTTTAGCATTTTGGGTTGAAATACAGAAGTAAATGGACTTTTAACTGGATGGACTCAACACTATTGGACTTTTTCTGAGTTTCACCTGTATTTTCAGTGAATTTACTTTTTATAATGATTTCTTATGATAGTAATACTCATTTAATCTCAACTTTTCTTTCTGCACAGTGATGATGATAACAGCAACAATGCACAGCGAGAAGCATTGCTGCATAAGAGAAGGTTTGGCTCTAACTTTCTAAAAGTTTTGTGATGCTATTATTTATCCATTATAGCAAAGTTGTTTGTCATTTTCTTGTTGTTACAGTGAGAACGGCATGTCTAATGGTGGGACGGATGTTTCAATTGATATGCAAGCCTGCACAACTGATAAAAAGTCAGCTGTTAGACAGGTTCACAATTTAGACCCATTATAGATCATTATAATGACTGTTATTTTTGTCATTTCAGCAACGATGACGAAATAGCGCCTCAGGTCAACGGGATCGTACTGCATAAGGACCGGAAGGGGCAAGTGCTTTGTTATTTGTTTGTATCCATGTCTGCATCTTTTCTTCAAATATATATATATAATAATATTTTATATCCCTAGAAACATGGGACATGACCCCGGTGGCGGAAAAGACACTACCCTGCACTGGTAATCTTTGTACATGCGCCTAAGAAATTGTTCAGTAGAATTTATAGAAAATGTGAGATTTGAGTTCTTGTCTATCAAAGCTGCATTTTGTAAGGTGTTTTTTAAACTGGATCGGTTGGGGAATTGTGTGTGGAAACACTTCGAGATATTCTTTGAACTCAATATGAATGTTTACTTACCTACATATCGATAGAATGTTTATAATTCACTTTTGCCGCTTTGTTCGTCCGCCTTCTCTGTGCAGCGCTCGCCCCCTCCTTCTGTTGTTAATCCCCCTCGCCCCCCCCTCGCGTGTGTCTCTTTCACGGCGTGGCGCTCACTCATGCTCGGAGGCTGCACACTTGTCTAAAACTCGCAGAGTGTAGAATATGACAGAAGTGGTGCAGCATCAGTGTGGCATTTCATACAGCGCTGGACATGGCAGCCTTTGTCGTCATTGAACAACGTGGCTTTATACCAGAGACTGTAAACTTTATACGCAGCTAAAAACTAAACGGCTCCTTGATAACAGAGTGAGGTGTTTCACCAAAGATTAGAATCGAGGCGATACTTTGCGATGCAAGAACTCCCGCGACTGTGCACTACGGAGAGAGCGGCTGAATTGGAACAGGTCACTTACCACTAACCCTAACCCTAATCAGGGATTTTAGTTATATCTTAAATGTTGCAGAAGCACTTTGTTCCTATGTGCCTTGAGTTGAGTTTTATTTTTGAATGAAGGGAAGACAATATGTTTAATTTCTTCATTAATTTCACAGTAAAATTTTCATTTTTGTAGGAAATTAAAAAAAATGTGACAGAAGCACTTTGTTCCTACTTGAAATATGTATTTTGCAGTTGTTTTAGGGGGGTTATTTATCCTGTAAGTATAACAAGATGTATAGTTTTTCTCCATATTGCCCAGCTCCAGGTTAAAGGGGCGTTCCCAGGCCAGCTGAGACATCCCGTCCCTCCAACATGTCCTGGGTCTTGGCGAGGCCCTCTTCCTGGTTGGACATGCCTGGAACACCTCCCAAAAGAGTTATCCAGGAAGCATTCAAAATAGATACCTGAGCTACTGTACCTCAACTGGCTGATCTTGATGTGGAGTTGGTATCTCGCAAACTCCTCTACAAGCTCAGGCTCCTTCAACGACCAGACAGTCATCTTACTTCTTCTTTTAAAAGGGAATTATGTAAACAAAAAAACTTCACCTTAACTTTCCATTGAAGTGGTTTCTAGGATAACATAAGATCCATTGTTTGGATGGTTTTTACAATCGTGATCAAAAGTATGGACACCTTGCTGCCCACTCGTACAGTTTGGGTCTCAGAGTCAAAAAGGTGCATACAAAGTGTTTCTATTCAAATCTCCTTTTTATTCTGTTTTTTTTAGCAACGGGGATCTTTCACATCATGACAAATCCACTGGTGAACAGCAGATTAGCGGTGACGAGGAAGATGGATGCTCTTCAGCTTTCAATCAAAGGTAAAGGAAGTCTCTCATAAAAGTATTTCTTATCCCTTCTCTCCAGGATACATAACATTTCTTTCCCTTGTCATTTACACATGTGATTCATGCATGTTTTAAGCTATTTAAATTCTTACACCTGAGACTCATTTATTGTACTAAAAATATATTAAAGAGCCATAGATCACTACATAACAGGCAGAAAAAAACCCGCATAATATTATCTTTGTTTACAAACCAGGATTCTGCATTGGCCTAAAATGTATTTTCTTGATTTAAAAGTGAAGATTCTCAATAACAATGTATGCGCAACATGTAACTGATGTGAGACAAAATGTTCTAAAACTGTGGTTTTCACCCGCTTATTTCACCTGTGTCAATCAATATGACTAAAACTCAGTACTATTTGTTCTCTATATTCTAAGTAGGAGTGACGATATATCGATATTTTTTTTTTGATATATCGTGATACTTTCTCCCCCAATCGATTATCAATATGCATTTGCCAAGTATCGATTTTGAAAAAATTGGTATCAATACTTAATATATGGCTACACTACACATCTCCATTCCATTTATCATGAAATAAAGTGTATTTTTTCACTTACCATTTTTCTATTTTATGTTTGCCATATATTGGCATATGGTATATTGCTGACCAATATATCAATAATCGTCATATTGTGATATAATCGTTATCGTGAGCTTTGTATGGCGTATCGTATTGTATCGTGAGGTACCCAGTGAAACCATCTTCCACACGACTACAGCAGCACTGCATCAGACTCTCCATGTTCAGGAGAAAATAAGGACCAAAAGTAGATCTTCAGGACAAATCACAACAAGTCATATTTTTATTTTTTCTGCCTTATAGACTCTGTTCCTCGCTCTTCTCCTGCTTACATCAGAGACTCCCCCCAAACTGCTCTTACATGAAGTTATTATTTGTGCACCTGTAACCTAGAGTAGTTTTTAGTTCTATCCAGGCTAATATCTGCCACAAACACACCTGTCCTGTTTCAAATTTGGCACACTATGATAAAACCTCAAACTATGACATTGTGGATGATCACAAAGTCCAGCTGTTTTTTGCCTTCTAGAATCCAAACATTTCCTTACTTTTAGGACTTCCCCAGTCAAATCACGTTTTTTACAGATGTGCGATTTCATTGAGACATGATAGTCCAAATTTTTGACATAAATCTATCAAAGTTGGAAACTAGATGTAAGTGTTGCTATTTCTAGTTTCTTACTAACATATTTCATGTTTCTACACATGTTCTACTGAAGATATGATTGTAGCAATGATTTTTCTTTTCTTTTTTCATCTCTATTAAAGGCCAAATTGGATAAAATGTGATAATAGTTGATATGGATTAAAGCATTTAATTAATTGGATATTTAGTCCAGAATGGTTCAGCCCTTACTGGGAGTGTGAGTTTAGTCTGCGTGCTTACATAGTTTAAACTCAAACTTGGAAACATTCATCACTGGGGAGTTTTCCTGCTTACCGCTTCATTCCGCCTGCTTTTCGACAGCTGTCACAAAGCACCTCCAGTCGTGTTTTGAGGAGTTTGTGTAGAAACAGAAAACTGGGGGTCGGTCTGGGCTCGTTGTCCGTCTTCATTCCTGTTTGTCTGATTTTAGATCGACTCGAGAAGAGCCTTTTGACGAGACAGCAGGAAGTGAAGGCCGAGCGCCGGTGCACGGTGTCGGCCCGGGCAGAGCGAGGATCTCTCCACCTGTGAGTGAAGCCGTTCTGCTTCAAATGCATCTGCAATGTTCATTTCCATCATATTCTGATTATGGCCCTTCTGTTTTTGCAGGATAACGAAGCTAACCATAAAGCATCAGCCAATATGTTAAATAATAATAATAAATAATAATAATATTTATATACAGTAAGAAGTTTTTGAAAATAATGTATACCTCTCACAGTGTGGTACTCTGGCAATTTTGTTTTTAATCTCAATTTTACAATCTTATGTATACTTATTTGGGAGTATTTTGACCCATTGGGTGAACCAGAGGGCCAGAAGCTGTACCACAACTGTGAGGATAGTGTTAAATGTATAATATGAATATATGCAATGTGTCCATAGTTGTTTCCATGACGCTTAAATAGTGAATTGAGGGAATCTGTAACGATTGATTGTCTGAAATATTTAGACTGAACACTATTGGGAGCTAACAAATGTATTGTTAGTTAAAATATTGAGATAGTTTCACACGGTTCTGTGGTTTATGTAAGGCTACCCAATTTATGAGATAAGATTTATGGAAATACAACTATGGTTCACATTCTAGTTACTATATATAATATAATGGGATATACTTTGTGGAAGAGTATTTCAAAATGATAGGAGCCAAATGGCAATACTATGACTGCTACAGTCACCACGCCAGGCTTGGGTTCATTCATGACTTATACCACACTGGAAAGACCAAGCTTTCTATGGCTGTACTAATGTTTATAAGCATCACTGTGATGACACAGTTCTAGTTGCATTATTGCTGCCTGTTGCCACAAGGGGGCAGAAAGCATTAATGAAACGCTTCTTTGATAGTTTTTTTTCCTGGTTTTATTGACCAACCCCTACCCTATTTCTTTTAAATGTTTATAATACGGCGATCACCAGTAAATTCATTTATGCAATGTTTTTAAGGTACATAATGTTTGTGTAGGTGCATCATATAGATGGAGGTGTGTACATTTCTCCTGTGTGAGATTAATAATGTATATCTTATCTTACCATTTATGTGATGACTTTTTACAATCAGTTCTGTATTCATACTGTTTTAAAACTGATTCTGTAATCATTCAATTAAATATAGTGAAATATATTTGTGTCTCTTGTCTCCTGTTATTTACTTCTGTATGTATAAGCAGTGTGCCTTTTGTGAGCTCCCACCACAGACCGTGGCCCCTACATGGCTTCACTCCAGCTAATACGCAGCTGGTCGCTGGGTCTCGCTTCCGGTTTTGTGGCCGATTCTATTTTCGTCACGTAATGTGCAGTGACCTTGAAAAGCCCCTCTTTACCTCTAAGATGAGCTGAGAGCCACGGGAGTGCGAGTCAGGGGTGAAGAGGAAGAGGAGTGCTGATGTCTGATGGGGATGGGACAGGGCTACGGGATGCTGCTGTCAGCTGGAGGGCGCGGCCACCGCTGTCCCTCGTGTAAAGGGTTTGGTAAAGATGCTTCACTCGTCCTCAACCCCTACAGGTGAATAATGAATGTTGTAGAGCTGTGAGACTCAATACATTAATACCATACATGTGGATTATTGTGTATGTGCGTTGATAGATATTTATATACAGTCTATGATTGAACTGAGATCAAATCTGCCTTTATATTCTACCAAAAGTAAAAATTAGAAAAATGCCTTGCACTTATAAAGTGCTTTACAGACTTTGCGAAGGCACTATCCTTTCACTCCGAGCTCAGTGATGATGGAAGCCAGGCTGCAATTTGCACCATCAGCCCCTGGAGCACAGAGAATCCAGACACAGGAGAAACATTCAAACTCCTCACAGGAATAAAATAATCCAACAGAAACATCTAATTCCCCAACATGACTACAGTTTATAGGCTTGAATTGATTATTTGATTTTCTTATTTGAATGTAGATGTTCCTATTATGTTTGGTGGTGCTTAAAGACCCTCTCATGTCCTCTGCTCCACTGTCCACTTCAAGGGGAAGTGGTGGATATCCACTGTTTTGTTCTGTCTTCTAAACTTCAGAAGATCCCTTTTGTAGAAAGAGGATGGCCTGTGTAGAACATGTCCTTCCCTGGTCCATTGTCTTGTCATTATGACAGAAAAGATATGTATCATGGCATTTGTTAAGGAAGTAGTTAGTGATAACATACTTATAATACAAGGCTATAAGTTAATGAGCCAAGAAGAAATCCTTCCTGTGCAGCATATTGTTGAGTTCTCTGATCCAGAACAGGACCTTATCATGAACGTCATGGTGCTTGATTTTTGCAGTAATTGGCAGAAGGTCAGGTGCACAGTGGAATCTTATTGTACGTTCTGTGTCATATGGGCAATAAAAGTAGCCTACAGCATGGATAAACTGCAGTTATACTGTAATTAGAAACCAATGCTTTGCTCCGATGCCCCTCATATGGGCCAATTAGTCTTCTGTATGACTTCCTTGTGGCTGTGGCATTATGGGAAATTAAGTGACGGCTCACACAGGAGTTGGCATAGACCAAATGTCCCGTCTAATATCCTGAACATTTAGGTTGTTTATCCCCTCAGTGATCTCATTGGTGTTCTTATTGTAATGCCACAGGTGACACTTACTGCTCAGGATAAAGTTGTTATTAAAAGATGACATCAGGGATCACACTCGCAGTATGATTAATTAACCTTGACTGATGCTTTGGAGAAACCAGGGCTACACATACAGTCTATGAGTTTCCCAAGTGCTGGCTTTCTAATATGGACTCTGGTTACTGTAGTGAAACAAAGCCTCTCTGTTGGCCAGATTAGCATGGACACAGGCTGCTCATCCCTCTTGTGTGGACAGCTCAGACTAATGCCTCGGCCAAACACTGACACTACTGCAGCGCTGGCTTTGTGAGGAGCTCTCTGCTGGTCACTCTAGTTGGCTGATGCCCTTCTTCAGATTGGAGGGAAGATGGGAACAAGCTATTAAGTAAAGGTTGGAAAGATATGCAAAAATAATACAAAGCATTAGACTCAAAGGCCTTTATAGAAAAAGGCCAGAACACTGGGCTTCTTGAGACTAGCCAAAATACTTTTATCTTCAATGACAAAATAGGATTTTAGGGAGTTTCCGCCACAGTTATGCAACCCTAAAAGTAAATCGACAAAAGCTTCATAATAACATTTATACTCACGAGTGCCAGCTACACGGATCAATGTTCAAAAGAAGGTTACATTCTGAGCTGATGATTGTGGTAAAAAAAACCCTCTCTGAATTCAGACATAATTTATTCATTGTTCATTGGTTGTTTATGGGCACTATACCACCAGTCCAATCCGAAAAGTCCCCAGAACCACAACTGAGCTTTGCATAAAATATTATTTTTATTTTGGTTTGATTGTCTTTAGTAACTCAAAGTTATGATGTTGGCTTTTACAAAATTCAGTAAAGTTCAAATATCAAGGGTACATCTTGTATGGTCCTGAGCAAACTAACATCTATGCTGGACCATGACTGTCACCCCCTGCAGGACACTCTCTCTGCTCTGGAGAGCAACTTCAGTGACAGACTAATTCACACTCGCTGTGTGAAGGAGAGGTTCTGAAGGTCTTTCCTTCCTGCTGCTGTCAGACTGTACAATAAGAACTGCTGAGCCTGTACATTTCATTCATCTGTAACTAAGTAAATTCTTAAATCATGTGCAATGTGCAATACTGCAACTTCAGAATGTCACAGAACAATGTCACTTTACTTATATACTTTTTATCCTGCACTATTTAACTGTACAATATATAACTGCACTACTACTACATATAAATATATTGACTGGTATTGAAGCATTTTCAGCATCTACAGCTAGTTATGTTAGCTAAGAAACATAGCTACTTTATTTGTATATATTGTGTGTGCTCTCTGTGTGCTCTTACTACTGTCCTATATGTGCGATGCAACATCGAAATTTCCCCACTGTGGGACGAATAAAGGAATTCTTATCTTATCTTATTTTTAAGGAATAAATCTGCAGCAGAGGTATGAGCTCCAAAAGTGATCTAAAAATCTGTGCCCTGACTCCCACCACAGCGTCCACCGCAGCAGCAGAGCGTGTAACCCACAGGTCAAATAAGGCATTGGAATTGCTCATAGAAATTGTTCATTTCCATTTTGAATTATGAGGTTCATAGAACGATGTACATCTTGTATGGTAGTCACACGTATTCATTCAGCATTTGTACATACAATAACAAATTTGCCATAATCGTATGTTTTCACAAACCCCTTCAGGATTCAACCACATACTGTACATATTATCTATGGATACAAGGCCTCTCTGATGTACATGTACATACAGCTCACTACTCTTTCTGATCCCTCAGGTTCAAATAGTTCACAGAAAAAAAAAAAAACTAGACCAAAAAGGCGTGAAGTAAAACTCTAAATATATTTGTATTTATTATTATTAGAGCATTGGCCTTAAGGCCAGAAGGTCGTGGGTTCAATTCCCACCTCTGCACCTTCTCCATCGACTCCCACTGATGACTGCTGTCGTTGTGTCCTTGGGCAAGACACTTAACCCCACTTTGCCCAAAAGCCCCCCCACTGAAAGATCAAGGCCATGCTCACACTCAGAGAGCAGCCGTCCTCCTGTGGACTCACCACCTGCAGAGGGTCTGTGAGGGGCTGGTGCTATGAGACTTGGGTGGCATCTCTGACTGCCACCCCCCTGACCCAGAAATGGATTAAAGGGTAGAAAATGGATGGATGGATGGATATTTTTTATTGATTGGGTTGGATATGAATAAGCTTTTGCTTCTGCCAACCCACTTTTCAAACCATGCACATGTTTACAAGATGAAGTGTCTTAAAAATGTTTGTGCAGGTTTGAAATAAATCAACTGATTGATTGATTTGTTTTTGATATTTTGTATATATGTGTTTATGTGTTTTCTTTTAGGATGACAGTTCAAATCTGTCCAGGTACAACAGATGAACAATAGCCTTGTGGCTATTTCTGTACATTTACAACATTTCTACACATGCATGTGTTCTAGAGCCATAAGTGAACTGCATGAAGTCCATTATCACACTGCTTTTTTGTAAAAAGTAAATTCAGCTTCAAAGCAACCTCTGTTTTCTATCTCTTCTATTGAGACATCACCACAGACCCACTCACTTCAATGATTTTTGATATTTTTTTGACAATAG